CTCTTGTCCAAAAATTCCTCAATAAGCCCTCATGATCTAAATCAGATCTTACCATTGATGTGAGTGGGTCTTCCCATGCTGGAAACCCTTGTTGAAGGAGATAGAGTATCATCAACATCCAAAGCACCCAAAGATGTAACCTTTTGTTTCACATATGCAGGCTTGGGCCACGAGTCCAGCAATCCTCTCATCCGAGGTATGATTTCAGCATGATCATTTTGTGAAGTTGGCTGACTTCCGGCTTTATATTTTTGCAAGTGTACTGGGCTGCTCACTGTTTCGTACTGGATACAAGTTTCTTGACTCCTGGATTGATTTGATTTTTTGTTACCAGGTTTTCCATTACTAATATCTGAACCACAAGAATCCTTCTTAGCAGAACCAGATGATTTACATCTTGCATTAGAAGGTGTGTCCCATTTTCCTTGCTTTCTAAATATGTCCTTCTCAAGTTCAAGCGCATATAGGATAGCGTCTTCCCGTCGAGCATATTTCTCTCTTTCTTGGTTTTCCTTGGATGGGCTGATATTGCTTTCTTGTTTATCCCATCTCTTGTTTTCTTTAATGTGAAGGATATATTAGCAGAGATTTTGGATTTTGTCATGGGAAAAGGACTTATCCCTGCCGATGGCGTGTTAGAAAACGTGCTATAGTCCCATCATTAAGACTTTTGATTCATGTTAGAAATTATATGCCATTCTTTTCTAAACATGTTTGTGCTTTATAATATGCACTTGAACTATGTATGGAAATTTCAGAATTGTTGGAAACTAGAGATATAGTTTGAAAGGGGGCGGGTCACGTAGTTATATAAATAACTTGAGAGTGATTAATGTATTCTGAAAAGGAGTGGACAGAAGGAAGGGGTTTTAGATAACCATAAAAATGATTAAATTAGTGTGCATAATTACTAACAGCAAAGTGCAGTCTAAAAAAGACTGATAAAATGAGAGAATACTCATTAAACTGAAACATGCCCAAATCATTAGATGGGAGTTACTTTTCAAATATTATTTTAACTCAATCTGGAATTGTTGTTTTACTTTTTATTTTTCAGTTTTTAGTATGTAGCAGCTATGATTAGCTTATTTGGACTGGCTACCGATAGTCTTTGCCAGAAACTAGATGTTGCTGCAACTGATGGGGAAGATGTAGAAATGGAATATTCATAGCTATGATTAGTTTACTTTTTGATACTACCGTTATCACGTTAATAGAATAAGAACTGTTGATCACCTGCATCTTGAAACTACATATAATACCCCAGGCATAAGTTATGTATAAAGAGATTCTCAGCCATTTCCGAAGCTGAAATACCCGTACCAGCGTACCTAGCCAAGTTACGAGTCGTTTTTCATTTGAGAGAGCGATAATCATTCGAACGTGCTTTGAGTATATCTGTGTGGTCTCATAAATATGTAGTAATTCAAAAAGGGAAGCATACATGTACCTTATAAAAGATCAATCAAATCGATATGCAGGTTGAGATGACTACCGGAGCAACTATCCACACAACACAGGGTCTGAAGATGACAGTTACGCGAAGTATAAAGCCTCCGATTATCCCTGAAATAAACATGCAGGGATTGAAGATGGAAGCATCTGTTCGGAACTTGGAAGTAGAGACCCAACTTGGAGAGAAAGGTGAAGTTTCTCAATCTCATTCATAAGTAGAATAGCTTGCTACATGTCATTACACAATGTATCTGTATCAAGGGGAAGTAAAATTGATAAGATATAACCATTGGGTGAAAATTGGTAAATATTTTTGTATGCTTCCCATCAGCTAGCTGTGGTTTCTGGGGTTGTACTGGAATTAGGAAAAACAATGAAGCTTTGAGCTGAACAATTAGGTATTTGCAAGTAAACTGGTTCCAGAAACCAATATGACATATATGGCTATATACTGATATTTGTTCGACACGTGTATGCCAACTTTATATTCTAATTTTCTAAAGTTATTTTCATATATTTTGGAGGATTATGCCACTCAACATTTGAATATCTGTCAGATATAGAGGGTTTGAAATGGATACGCTAGACAAAATGAAGGGTTTAAGTAATCAACTATAGTTAAGGAGGTTAGTATTTATTAATGTAAGCTACCTTGCTTGTTTGTTTGTTTTTTTTTTTATGTAATGTAAGCCATCTAGCATAAGGATAGAGAAACCAAAATTCGATTTGATTTTTTTAAAAACATTCAAATTAATTAAATTAAATTATTTAATTTTGTATTTAAATCTAATTTAACTTTATAGCTCAAATAAATTGAATAACAATTAGTTTTAAAAATGTGTACTAGTTTCTTTCAACAAAAAATGCGGAAAGAAATCTTTAAAAAGTCAGTATATATAATTTACATGTATATATAATGTTAAATTATAATTATTTTATCTTTTAAAATGATAAACTAAAGATATTAATTTTTTTATTAATATGGGGTAAACACAGGGTAGTATTTATTGAAAGATAACTTTCAACCATTTGACATTGAATGCTCACACTTCTAGCATTTCTCGTGCTCGAAGACCTTAAGAAATAACAACAATTATTTTACCACTGAGGTTGCTTAATTCATGCAAGATCTTAAACGTATAAATTATCAAATCAAGTTTTATCATAATAAAGTACATGCATGGTCTTAAATTTATTTGCTCTAACGTAAAATTTAGTAATATTATCACTAAAGTTCATTTTTTTTAATTTAACTTGAATAAATTTGTTTTATCCAACTAAATTCTAGTTCATTTCACTTAATTTAAAAAAAAAATTGATGTCATCCATTAATTGATCGAGTGACCGAAAATGCTCATATTATCCCATCCTAAAGTATAATTAATTGATCGAGTGAACTAAGATGCTCGTATCATCCCATCCAAAAGTAGAATGACTTGGACCCCATTAGAATCCCAAAACAAGTTCCACAAACTGTACAATGAATACAACCAAACTTGATCACCAAGTTCTCTATACGAATACAGCTATAGGTCATCAATATTGATATGGCATTTAACATGAAGCCTTTTGATACCACATTGCTAAAAGATGTATAATTCAGGACCAATTAATATATTAACTCCTGTAAAACTGAGAATTGAAGAAAGAGCAGTGGATATGCTTTATTCTAAGACTGGGATGTTAAAACCATACACTAAGATTACAAACACACCACTACTCATTCTATTGGATTTTCAAAGCAGTATATTGAAGGGTAAAATAAGAGGGGGGGAAATGAAAGACAGATGCTAAACCAGGATCAAATTGGCATTGTGCATTTCTTTTGAGAATGACCTAATAAATGGCATCTACCACATTGAACAACTCTCTTAGGCCGCTTCAAATTCTCTACTCGAAGAACTTTCTTTTTTGGTCTGCCAGGTGGCCGACGAATTTTGGGAGGGTGTATCATGATATCAAGCTTGGCAGCTCTACCATCGGCTCCTTCACCGAGCTCCTTCCAAACACTCTTATCCGGTATAGGATGTATCACCTGCGAATAGGTCTCACGGTAGCTTCCCACTGTGAAACAAGGTTCAGCAAACAGATGAGCGTTCTGCCCACAAGAAATAAGGGCAGCTGCAGCATGTGCACATGGTAAGCCATACAGCTGCCAACGACGACAGGAACACACGCGACTCCTAATATCCACAATATTTGTCCTCTCGGTTGAGACAATCTCAAACTCAACTTCATTTGCCCTAAGCACTTGGTAGCAATGGGCATCGGCAATTGCCTCCGAAATCCGCTTCTCAGCCGATGGGACAAGAATTGAGGTCCATCTCATTCCCATTTCTCGACGATTGTTAAACCAAGTAGTGAGTTGATTGCGAATATGCTCCATCATTTGCACAATGGGGAGTTCATGACATTCGAGGGCCCAATTATACAACATCTCAGTAACACCTAGTGTAAAGTGGCCATATCGCACTCCTTCAAAATATGCTACCGCCCAAAGCTGCGGTGGGAAGAGTTGAAACCATTGTATAACCTCCTGCGAGATCTCTATCATTTCAGCAATTTTACTCTCAAACTCTATAGTAGTGAGAGCATAAACAGCATTCCAGAAGATATTAACCAACTTCGTGTTCTTAAATGTATCACGGAAATTTTCACTGGCATAACGTAGACAAAAACCATGAAACGCACTCGGAAAATGGGTTTCTACTGCGTCCACAATGCCTCGCTGTCTTTCAGATAGTATAGTAAGTCTAGGCATGTTTTCAGTGTTTACACCAAGAAGCTTCCTCAACTCTGACATGAACCACATCCAATTTTCATCACTTTCGACATCAACAATAGCAATTGCCAAGGGAAACAATGCATCATCGGCATCAACAGCTGCAACACAAAGTAATGCACCCAAGTATTTTCCTTTCAGTTCTGCCTTATCAAGTTCTAGAAGTGGTCTGCAAGCAGTTATAAACCCATAGATAGAAGCACGGTAAGAAATAAAGAGGCGCTGGAAACAATTTTCTTGCCCGGTAGCAAAAACCGATGCAATACTTCCAGGGTTGGTTTTTCTTATTTGCTCACAGTATGCAGGAAGAAGGCGATACCCTTCTTCAAAAGTCCCATGAAGTGCAGCCATACTTCGTTCCTTTCCACGCCAAGCTTGCATATAAGAAACAGCAACTCCATGCTGGTCTTGGATATCTTGCAGGATTTCTTTTGGCTTGTACTGTGGATTATCCCGAATGCGTGCTTCTACTGATCTTGCAACCCAACCAACTGATGCTTGCTGATGATGGAGGTTGCAAACCCCTTCACACGTATGCTCCCCATGCAGAGTTCTAATTGAGAAAGTTGGAACCCCGGGACATTTTGCTACATGGACACGCCATGGACAACCTTCTTTGGAGCACTTGGCTATAAACCGGCTGCGATCAGATTTAACTATCCTAAGATCAAAATGCAATGCTATAGCAATATCTTTCAAGGTTCTTCTGCAGGTTTCAACATCGGGAAATTCCTGCCCAATAACTAATGAAAGATCTACAAGGGGTTGAGAAGTATCAGCTACTACTAAAGCATGATCAGCCATGACTACATAAAACAAAAGAAGCAACAGTCTGAGGCGATTCAAAGGGCTCCTTCCATGCAACAAACAGAACAGAAAAAATGCTTCCAGGGAAAAGCTTCAAAAACAGCACATATATGCTCTTAGTTAGGCACAGATATTGCATTAGAGACAAAAAAGAAACGAAATTACATATATATATATATATATATGCATGTAGATGGATAGATAGATAATGGGGTGTCAGTTTGGCGGAGGTAGACAAAATAAACCAGAGGGTCAAATTTAAATATTGAATACCAACCAGTATAATTAATCAACATAGAAATGGAAACAATTTTCTTCTCGATAGAACAGAAACATTGGCAGCAAAATCCCTTTTTAAGTTGTCAATTAGTAAAGCAACTTATTTGGTACCCAAAAGGATTACATAATGCACCTGTGATGGAAAAGAAAAGAAACATGCCTATCAGAAAGAAGGGAACAAAAGTGAAGATCGTGTAAAATGAAATTCAAAATTGTGAATTGCATTAATTGCTATGTTTCTTAGACATGGATATGTTCGTTTACATGTAAAACGAAAGAAGTAACAGTCTGAGTCAATTATCAGTTAGAGTTTTGAAACCTAAACCAAGTGAAAGCCAAACCCAGTTACCTACCTCTAGCAGTGTGTGATCCATAAAAGCTAACCAGAATAGCCAACTAGCCTGAAAGCTACATAATTGACACTAAAAGTCTCAGAATCAAAACTAATAAACCTATAACTGAAGCCAACATAGACTCGCCTCATTGTCTCCTCGACAGTAGTTTACAAGCTACAGATTATAAAAAGGCAATTTAAAAATTTCTAACTTCATCCAAATTTGTTCATACTTCAAATCCTCACTTATTTTTCGGAAAAGTATTTGAAATTCTAATTACAAAAGTAAAAGAAATTAAGAACACGTAAACTAGTTAAAACACCATAAAAGGCTTCACTGAAATAATTCCATTCAAACAAAGCCCATCGACCACATCCTAACGAAACTTCAGAAGATTTTTAAGTCACTAAAATCCCCTTTAAATAAGACCAAGCCCTAAAAAATAAGTAAGAGATGTTTTCTAATAATAAAGTTCATATCTCAAGGTTGAAAATTTTTATCGCTCCTAACCAATGATATGATGAATTTAGATATAGAATCATCGAAATCTTTGACAAGTAAAAGAAACTTGAACAAACTCACTCAAGGTGAAATCCCCTTGTAACAGCAAGATAATTATAGCAGAGGCAAATCAAATTTCAATGCCACAATTTTTACAACAGTTAACAAATACAAAGAGACATGGTATACCTTTGAAAGCTAATATCAAGTCACCTTTAACTCTTTAAGCAACAAAAATAACATTTTTGAGCCTATATAATTTACCAACAAATCAAAATAATCTAGGTTCCAAGCCATCGGAAAACAGAAATTGCAAAACTGGCTAGATTCAAAGGGCATACTAAGCACAACCTAAAATCAAAATGAACTTTAAAAACTTTACGCAGATTAATCTTTTTTCTTAACTCGGCTAATCGCTATATCTTAAAGCATTAAATAAATAAGTTCCACCAAAAACTATAAATTTAAAGACCCAATTGACCAAAAGTGTTACCTTGAATGAATTTGGTTCTAACTCTTTCAAACTCCGTGATGCCCGCGAGATCTAAGGCTCACTTCTTTCGATAATTTTTCACAAAAAAGGCACAAAATCTTGTCCATCGCTTACCACCACCTTTTAAATGAATTGGTAGGTTAGGAAATCCTATAGTAAGTGAACACGTTGAGAATTGGAGAGGGAAGAATGTAATTAAATAAAAGGACTTGTTTTGCTTCGTGTTTGGATGATTGGAAAACGAAGGAAAACTGGGAAAAGAGGGGAGGAAAATATTCGTGGACCTGTTAAACAATTGGCTGTTATGAGAGAGAAACATTTTTGAGTAAATATCACAACGGGTCCCAAACCTTTCAGCACATATCACATAAGTATTAAATTTTAAAGGCTAAAATGTAAAACAAAAAGTCCATCAACTTAAACCGGATTGAATTAACCAAAATATTTTTTGGTCTATTCGTTTAGCTCATTCAATTTGGTAGTTTATTTTATTAAAAAAAATGGTAGTTTTATTCGGTTCGGTTTTTGGTTTTGGAAATTTAAATTAAATATTTTTTATTTATTTTAAATATGAAAATAAATATTTAATATAAATGCACAAATCAAACTACTTCAGTGATTAAAATGATGATTATTATTTTTAGAAGTCTCGAGTTCTAACATATTGTATGTCAGAGGTATATAATCACTCAAACAAATATTAACATTCTTTCAAACAAATATTACTTTATAATCACTCTTAAATTAATAAAAATACTTAATTATAAATAACTTAATTCAATAATTTAATTAATTGCAAGTAAATATTTAATATCATCGTAACACCCTAATTCAGTTTGACTCAAAGATCCATGGATTACAATGTCACACGGAACTATCAAAATAGTAACCCCAAAAAAATTTCTTTTAAAAATTGCTTAATGATTCAATAAAATAAATTATCCATGGTAGTAAAAGTAAAACGGGATAGTAATCTCAGTTTACAAAACAATGGGGATCTCCCAAATAAATTTAAAACGATAATACAGTACTGATTACAAATCAAAGTTATAACTAAATAATACACAAGGGTCCATAAATAGTACATGCCCTCTAAAGATGACTCAAGACATATTATGATGTCTCCGGGAATTTGGTCTGTTGTATTGGAATATCTGGTTACGATAACTCTCCACGAACTGTCCCTAAGAATCTGCGCACGGAAACACATTATAAACGATGAGCTTACGAGTTAAGTGTCTCACTAATAAATGTAATATACTATATGCATTCACTAAATGAGATAGTTAATGACACAAGTCTGAACATAAAACTATTGATTTAATTATTGAGTATGCATCATGGTGCGAATGAGGATTTTGCATCTCGGAGCTCACACATCCCTCTACTCATTCTGAGATACCCTCGGGTATCTAGGGTGAGATCCGGAGCTGCATCGAAAACGTACAACCACCAACTTACTCTGTCGAATCTTGGGGCATCTGCGCCCAATCGACTACTGAAGTGACTTGGCACTGACTTTGATATCCAATGACTGTAGTATTTCTACTATAGAGGAACTCAGGAGTCCTGACTGTTTCCCGAGCATCAAACAATGCTAGTTTTATGAAATTTTTTAGTTGTTAATGTTTCTATTGTTATGTTATTAATTATTGTTCTCGCTTGGAGTCTTATTTGATGTTATACTGAAGTGTTTGGGGTACATCGGGTCTAATCCTTCAAAATTTTGGGTTATTTACCAAAACTGACTGTTGGTATCGATATTGGCCCTTCAATATCAATACCCTGGCTCGGTATCGATTCCAGAAAAGCCTACTGGAAAATGGGTCTTGATATAAAGTTTGGTAGTTTCGAGACTGTGACCCCAATATCGATACCCCTGACTCGGTATTGATACCACTGCCCTGAAATCATGGGTTTTGCCCAGACAGAAGAACAATCTCAATATCGACCTTCCAGTATCGAGACCCAACCTGAAGAATGCACTGTTTTGACATGAAAAATCTTAACTTATGATTCCAAAAGCCCTATTGAGGCCCCCAAATGATGTTTAAGTGTTATGTATGATAATATAGGCCATAAGAGTCCATTAACCATGTTGGAAACACATAAACACTAAATACACCATGAACATGTTCAAACTCATGCAACCTACCAAAACTCATCTAAATGAGCTACATGTGATATAGGTGAGTTAAGAGTGAGTTACCAGTGTGTTGTTGGTGCCCAAAGCTCAATCAAGAACGAGCTTTTCTTTCCCCCTAGCTTTGGAGCTTTCTCCAACCTCTCTCACTGAGAAAGAAATCAATGTAAGAGATATTAACTGAATTCTAGAGGTTATGAATGATTTAAGAACACTTCTTAAGACCTAAAATTTCTGAAAAATTGAGTAGAACCATCTAGTTCCTTGAACTTTTCTAAAACATATTTTCTCAACCATGGTCAAAACTTGATCATAAGGTCTCAAATGAAAGTTGTAAAGGTGTTGAGTTTTGTTTTTACCTTTTAAATGTTGATTGGAGACTGAAAAATAATAAAGTTCCTACCTTTTCTTGAGATGTTGAAGGAGATAGAGAGGTTTTGAAAGTGAAGAAGAAGAAGATAAGGATGATGGTCAAAAAGATATATGAGAAGCCACATACGTGAGATCACATATCCTTAATGGTTTTCAACATTATTTTTAAACTAAGAACTAATTACTCCTTTGGTCCTTTTGAATGTGGTTACAAACTAAAAACACCCTTTTTACTTCTCATTGGGCTGAACTCAAGCCCAATTCCATCTCAATTTCGATAAGATCTTTTTATAAACTAAGAAATTAATTCAAGGTCCATCTCGGGTTAGCTCAAAAATTCTAATCCATGATCTAAGGGGTTACAATCACAATTTTAATATTATATTTTATATTAAAAAGAAAATAATCTCCTAAAATATTAATTTCTTTAATAAAATTAATAAATCTTTTGGTCACTGGCAGTAGAAATCGATTTGATATTGACTTTCATATATAATTTGACTCATGATCATACTTTTATTCATAAATTAGAAACTGTTTAAAGTGTTAAAGATTTATATTTCATTCTTTTTTAGTTGTTATAAAAAAAATTATCAATTCTTTTATGTCTTTACAGTTATTTTAAAATCAACAAACTTATTTCATCATCATCTGTTATAATTCATTTAAACTCATAAAAATACACATAAAAGATTTATCATTTTTTGTTTGTTTAAGGGTTCTTTAAAATTTGGATTTTTTTATATGTTTATTTAAAAAAATAAAAAGGTGAGAAGTATTTTTTTTAGAAGAAAAACAGCATATCTCGAAATTAGCTTTGTCAAACGATCGTCAATAGAGATTAGAGAATTAAAACATCAAATCTTTGGATAATTTTTTTGTTAATTTTAAATGAGTTATGTAGAAAATTAGTCTAAAAAGGGAAAAAAAATAAGTAAAACGAAAATATTTTGAATAAGAATGATTTATATCTTTTTATCCTCAGTAGTAGTGACTCGTGGCACCACCTAAATGATTGAAAAATTATTTAAAAATTATTGATAAATAAAGAAATAAAAAATGACATATCATGCTATATAAAAATTGTCATTAATGATTTTAAAAAATATTAACATAAACCTTAGCCGCTCTCATCCTTCCCCCTTTTTTTTTACAATTTGTGCTATTTTCTATAGATCAAATCAATTTATTCTTTTTTGATTTTGTTTAATCGACAGCAACACCGATTTTGATGTTGATTGCTGACCGTAAGTTATTTTTTCTCTTTATTTTTTATTTTTTTAATAAGAATAATTATGTTTTTACGAATGTTTATCTCTACATTTGTGACATGTTTATCTCTATTTATGTGGTATATTTTTATTTGTCTTTTGATAATTTTCGATAGTTTGACTGTTATTTTCGTTTATTTTTTCTTCTCATGGTTTGATTTGACATCACCACGACTGATAAAGATGGTGTTTATTTGTTATCATGATGATTTTTCTTGCTTTGGACTCTTGGATTAATTTAGATGTGTGTTTTGCGTTCGTGAATGTTTTCTCACGTCGCTTGAATCTGATTTGTGATTTGTCGGTAGTCTTTCAGTAGCTTCATCCCCTTTTGTGATTCGTTTGCCTAAGCAGTCAGGTTTATTTGTATATTTATTTTGTTTGAGCATTTTGATTAGGTTTTTTAATATTTTTCTTCTTTGGTCAATGCGTGATCTAGGTGGCTAGTTTTTGTGCCAATAATTATAGGAAAATGTTCTAATTATAATTTAGTTTACGTTTATGCTTGTAAATATTTATTGTAATTATGGATATTTTTTGTTTTTAATAAAATTAATTATTTTCTATCAAAAATGATTTTAAAAAAACAAAAATTTAAATACTAAAACAAAATAAAAGTAAGTTTAATACAAAACATGTAATTTATTTTTTTAATGTTAATTTAATAAAAATAATTTAATTAATGATATGTTTCGATATAATTTTAATAATATGCTACGCTGTGCAACGTCCCATAGAATTTTCCTCGTATGGCATCTAATTTGATTTTCCAAAGAGCCCACTTGGAAGGCTGCCAGTGACAGTGCCACCCTCAATAATTCGCCAAATTTTATTTTAATTTTCTCTCGATCTTATCAGTATTAGGCAAAACACTCCAAAAAATGCTAAAGCGAAAGGAAAATTTACTTCTTCCCCCAAAATATAGGCTTCTTGCCACACCAATCATTCAGTAGTTGAAACTGGAGATCGTCGTGAATGGGCTTCTGTTTCTATAATTCTGTTTCTTTGCATCTTCTTCTTCTTTCTGCTCTTCCATGGCTCCATATCTCTGTTTTCTTCTGATTCTACATAAATTACCGATCACCGGCATTCATCTCCTCCTTATTTTCCTACATTCTCTCTTATAACTCTTCCTTCTTACCGGTTTTCCCCGGTTTCAAGACAAAAACCCTGATTTTTCCCTTTCATTTCGAAGATAAATTACGGGGGAGAAGCTCCGATCTTTTATTTACGAAGGTACCCTTTTGGGGGTTTTTATCTTGTAAATTTTAACTTTTGTATGTTTTATAGGAAATTCAGTAGCTTCTCGTGGACAGTTTTCTTCTTGTTGTTGTGATTTTTCTGTTTGGTTGGCTGGAGAAACTGTTGAAGTGAAGGAAAATATTCAACTTTAGATTGATTAAAGCAAATCGGTAATTGAAAATAAAAGCACCCTTTATCGAAGTAGGATGAATAATTCAGATCTTAATGATGGTTTTTCTTTGTTTTTCTTTTCTCTTT